CAGGGGGCACGGTGACAAGGGAGTCGGCATCCAGGCTGTTAGCGAGATTCTACAAGTGTTCACACGTAGAAACGTATTCCGTACTGTACTGTACTTACAACGCCACCCGATGCAGCACTCGCATACAAATGTGGGAAGAGAATACTTGTTATCTGTGGTCGGTGTTCGTTTACGTAAGAGCCCAGAATAAAACTGCCTACACAACCGCCTACAAAGTAAAGCTTTTTAAGGGCGAACGACTGAAACCCCATACGTTGCAACCGTCGGTATCTACGATGCACAGATGAAAGTAAGTAACAGTACCTACGAATCTCGTTACCGTAGTATAGTACGTAGTTGTTATTGCGTAAAACCATGTTCCGACGAGCTCGCTGATGTCATGGCAGGCTTGACATGATGGCTGAGGAAAATGAGGGCATTTTTATAAACGAACACGAAAAGCAGATTGTCCAGGATTTTTGTTATTTGTTGGATAAATCTAAGCAGCTGTTCAATGGGTTGAGGTTTGTCGAACGTTGTTTTCATTTCTGTTTTATGTGTGGTCGTTGGTCCGCTTTGTACTTGTGAGTGCGTGCCTGGCTTGCAGATTTAGTTACTGTATCCATCTGTCTATAGGGACCTTCCACAATGTGGCATCAAGCACTGGCTGCAACACTTTTTTCGCACGTTCGATGTTTTCACAAAGTTATGGAAGTTCCAACAACAGCACAGGTGAGAGCTTTATCGTCGTACTTTCAAACTAAATTGACTTATCGCTCCCTTCTTTGAAGACTGTAATGTCAGTTTAGTTTGCTTCGAAACACATTTCCAGCTTGGTGATTTTGATGCAATTTCGTGTTTTAGCGGTTAAGAGATCGGCGACTTGCGACCCATCAAAAAACGTGATTTGTATTCATGCTTGAAAATGGTTATTACCTATTTTAGATGGCGATATACGCACCAGTTTATGGTTAAACCAGCTTCACTTAGGATTTTTACATACGTACTTCAACGCCCGTACGATATGAGCGTAAAACTTCTTTGGGAGGAAAAGCCGGTAATTGGAGTGTTCGCAGATCACTCGAAATGGAACCGAATATTTAATCAGGCATTTTATCGAAGAAAGTCTTTTACGCATCCAGCTCATATCATCTTTAAAGTGACTTTGGAATCGATATACAATTTCTGCTGTGAAATTCACTTTTGGAAGCGCATGGTCTCCTTTCACTGCTGAAGGGATATCATCTGCCTTTATTCTTCAGATATTGTATAGCGTCTGCCTCCGCGACCCGAAAGGAGAAGCGGTTATGGAAAATGAAGATGAAGAAATTCATTTTTAAGAACCGGTGAAAGTGGCAGACTGCCCTTCATCTGTCTGATAAATACTGAGAGTCGCTGAAGACCAGCATATAGTAGATACGTTAATGATGTCATTTTACCGGGGGGTTTGTGTTTAATATACGTTTTGTGTAACGAAGTAGGATTCAGTGGATCAGATGCCGGGCTCGCAGTCGAAATGTTGTGAATTCAAGCCTTAGCCTGGTTTGGGTTGCTCGTTTCTATTCTTCTAATCTGATAAGGAAGTTCATACACTTGAAGATGTAACAGAGCAATAGACTGCAGTAGCCCACTTAGCCCCTGACGCTGCCTTCAAAAAATATATTAATCCGGACTGATGGCATCGTAACGGATATCGAAGCTGAACCAAAATCGCTACAGATAAAGGGTGCCACAAAGAGTGTTCACCAGCAGTGTTAAGAAAAACCGACTTCACTACGGTTGCAGACTTTCTTTTTTCCTGTTTTCTAAGTTCTCAATCTTACTGCTTTAGAAGGCCACCTGAAAAAAACGGACTTTCTCTTTATCATCAGTAGAAACAAAGTAGCTTCGCTGATGAACGTGAATACAGAAATCTTTTCACAGACAAAAAATAATTATTCTCTATGCCTCCTACCTCCCCATTCTTCAGACAATTTCAGACGGCTTCAGAAGTTCTTTTGGCTCCAAAATTACAACAGCTGCGAACCACGGAAAGAACTTCTGAAATCAACCCCCTCTACCTTGAAGAATGCCCTTCAGACACTGTTCGAAACTTCGGTACTGGTAAATCATTCGACTGACCAAACTATTTGCGTTGTGTATAACTAGTCCTTGTTTTATGCTGATTTCCCTATGACCACCAACGTAGAAACGAAAAACTCAGCCTTTTAATAATAAGTCATAATTCATAATAAGTTTATAGACTTGATTACTTTGTCAGACCTGGTTTCACGGCTTCATGACGCCGATTCTTTTGTCGGTGTGTACGGGACCATTTAAGCAGAGCTAGAGTTATCACTTGCAGTGCATCGACGTCTTAGATGCTAGTACTGCTTATTTGTTTTTGCAGCGGCATCAGAAATATTTATTCCTGCTTTCAAAGTATTGTAAATATCACTGCACGTAACTTAGTTTCATGGCATTATGCCACCGTGCTTTGCCCCTAGAGGCTTAGATTTCGGTACATTTGAACAGGCCACGACTCTACATCATTGAGCTCCCGTGACTGACGATACATCCCAAATCGCTTCATTCATTAGAGCGATGTTTTGCTTATCCTAGTCTTCAGCGCTCTATACCCTTTCGCTTAGTGTTAAAAATATTGGTTTGTCCACTGTGAGTATATTAATCAGCAAATAACTCCAATATATCCGGTTACTTGAGGGAGCGGCGATATAATGCATACCCTCTTTATTTAACGAGTGCACATAATACTGCCTGATAACTTTGAAGCTTCTGAGGTACTAAATAGTCTTGCAAGAGGTCTTCTAGGATTAAACCCTGACACGCTATAGTATATTAGTTGAGACTCCTGAAAAGCGTTCTGGACGTCTTTTATAATTAAGGGCTGTGTTTTGTAATTAACATTGTTGAGCACACTATGTGGATGCCATCTGAAAACACCTGATAGCTCTGCTTTACAACAACGTAGCTCATTCTGTTAGAAAACAGCTGACTTTAAATACTACCCTTGGCGAGCATTAGAGGCTTTTGAATCGTATTTAGTTGCCGTGAGACTTCATTATCAGCAAAACTTCCTACTTTTGTGCATCGTAGCAAGTGTAAAACGGGAAGTATTTGCAAGCATGTTGAACGTTTCAGCCCTATGTTTCTTTCAAGTCTTCAACTGATTCCTCAAAGTCATGAGGCAGCTGTGTTTACGTATTGATGCTGATCTTTTGTCAGATCTTGTAAGAAACTTCTAGCTACGGTATAACCATAGTTCGGTTCTCTAATCAAACCGTCACCCATAACTGAGATCTCGTTGGCCATCGAATGGAAATGCACAATAAAGAACGTACCTGGCATGTAGCGAAGGTGGAAAGTAAATGAAGTTATAAATGAAATATGTAAAAATTTTTCTCTCTTTCTCTCTCTGAAGAACGGCTAGTTTAAAGCTAGGTTAAACTAAACTCAGCATCATAACAGATAAATTAGTTAAATGGTTAGTTTCTTATACGCTTCAGTAAGTGCTCAGTAGAAATATTTCCTTTGAGCGCTAGTTATCATGACGTTAACATTTTATTATGGTTCATTATGTTAATGAAGGCATAGTCGATTGGCAATAAACAAGGATAATTTCAAGATAAGGATACAATACGATCTTCTGTTTCATCGATAACCTAATCCTTATGGCCAAAAAAATCTAGTTTTTCCTTACAGCGACCATACGAATTCTTCAGCCCCCCTTTCTCATGACGGATTTTGGAATTTTACTGGAAATTCACATCTCCTAGCGATTTGCTCATTATCATGCGCAGTCGAGATGCATATCAACAATGTTGATTGATCTCCAAAAATGAATTGCGTAGATTCGATTGTTATAAACGTGCGGGCATTCGAATTTTTAGGAAGTTGAAAATCATAACCTCTATTTTTAGTCAACATTTCAGCTAGGCGACACTGTATATCAAGTTTCTTGACTAACCGCTTATCTTCTTAACATGTTCGTTTACTTTGTGACAGATCCTAATGCATTTTTTATATTTCTAGATCCTTGCTGAACGTGTGTTATGGTTTAAAACGCTGGCAAATTGGCGAAATTGCGTCAAAGATTGGTCAACTCTACTATCATTACTAGTAAGCGTCAGTTAAACCTAATAAACGTTATAATCATTCATTCACAAATCAGTTCACTACGCATATTTTAAATATCGACAATTTGTGTTAAGTTTCAGATCTCACCTCCTCCAACTTCAAGGAAGTTGTACACACAGCGATTATCAGCGTATAATGATATGAGCAAACTGTTATTTGTAAAATTAAAATCGGCTACTTTTAACTCTTTTTTCTTCATCGGATTCCGGTCGACTTTATACGCGTCGCTGATAGGAACCTTTTTAATTCCGTGGGTGAAGATCTGTTTATCCCTTTCTATTATATTGATATTTTTAGATATAGTATCACGAAGTGTCATATTGATTGTAGTGTGCTCTCGCTACTGCATCGGCACGCATTATAATATGCGGATATTCTTGTTATGTTTATGTTCTTCCGTTGAAGTGACTACTCCAGCCTTTCATTTCTACAAGTTTGAAACAGCTCATTTTACCAGATATTTTTTCTCATGGTGGTTACTTCGCCACAGTTTGTGCACTGATTGGTTTCATTGAAATGCGTAGATCGTTGTTTTAGTTTGCGTACCAGCGACACGAAGTACCTGCAGGAAGCGTTCGCTTTCTACATGGCAATTCGATCCAGACAGTATTATTGCTCAGTACCCGCTGACGACAAGTAAGCGCCTTAAATATTACTTTTGCACTTTGCCATAATTCATTATTTTATATATTAGACTCTTAAGAGGGTCGCAAGTGACTCTTATTTGACAACTGACACGTTTGCGAACTTGTGGTACAACTTTTTCTT